AGGCGGAACTTTGAAATTCCCCCCCAAAAAAGCAGAAACAAACTTCAAAACACGTTCTGAATTCATCAGTTGCCAGCACCGTGTTAAATAACTTGAGCTTTCGTGAAAGGGCTCAAGGGCTGGATCCCCATAATTTATTTTTTTAAAACCTCCTATGGAGAAATTTCTCCAATAAAATCCAGTTATTGTTTAAGAGCGATGTGCACTGGGGCAAAACTCACTTAGTGACTGTCTCGCTTAGCAATGGAAATTTGGGGAAATTTAACAACCTGCCTCCAGAAGTTGTGAAGGCTCCAACACTGGAAGTTTTTAAGAAGAGACTGGACAGCCATTTGTCTGAAATGGTATACGTTTTCCTGCCTGAGCGGGGGGTTGGACTAGATGACCTCCAAGATACCTTCAAATAACAACTTCTTCTTCTTCTTCTTCTTCTTCTTCTTCTTCTTCTTCTTCTTCTTCTTCTTCTTCTTCTTCTTCTTCTTCTTCTTCTTCCTCCTCCTCCTCCTCCTCCTCCTCCTCCTCCTCCTCTTCTTCCTCTTCCTCTTCTTCTTCTTCTTATTATTTTGTGCTGCCACGAAGAGGATCCCCTCAAGGACGTAAGCAAGGGATGATTTTTCAGCCAGGAGACCCCACCCTTGGCATCTCCAGGTAAGCCCGAGGAAGCCTCCTTCGCCCAACGATCCTCCCGAAAGCCGACATAAATTCACTTTCCCTTCCTTGGTGCAAAGTCACCCGGGAATTGAAAAAAAAAATCCTGCTGACTGGGAACCGAGAGAAGCCGTTCGGTCAATTCTTTCACTCATTTAGCAGCCGAGGAGCAGGACAACTCGTTCCGTCTGCCAGTCACAACCAATTTGAAGCCGGCGGGGTGATGGATCCATTTCGGAAAGTGGCAGAGACCGCAAGGCTCCCGGGGAGAGGGGGGCGCCCTGCGAAGCTCCCTCTTACCTATTCACATCCTATTAGCCGGCTTTCGCCCTGATCTGCGAGAACCGACGAGGGTGTTGTTACTACGGCCTTTGCAAAAAACAAAACAAAAAATCCACAGGAACGTCTTAACCAGCATGAATTGAATAGAATAAGGATAGAGAGTAGAGTAAATAGAATAGAATAGAATAGAGTAGGGTAGGGTAGGGCAAGGTAGAATAGAATAGAGTAGAGTAGAATAAAACAGAATAGAATAAGGATAGAGAATAGAGTAGAGTAGAGTAAATAGAATAGAGCAGAGTAGGGTAGGGTAGGGTAGGGTAGGCAAGGTAGAATAGAGTAGAGTAGAATAGAATAGAATAAGGATAGCGAATAGAGTAGAGTAAATAGAATAGAATAGAATAGAATAGAATAGAATAGAATATAGAATAGAAGAGAATCAGACCATATAGTACAATACAATACAATACCATACAGGATATAAGAGAACAGAATAGAAATAGAAATACAACAGAACAGAACAGAGCTGGAAGGGACCTTGGAGGTCTTCTAGTCCAGCCCCCATTCAGGTCTCAATTATGGTCATTAAGTCGAGGATGCCTGTACCCATCCCCAAACGTGCTTAGGATGACAACACTTTGAGGCAACACCCAACTTAATCAACTCAAGCTATAAGCCACCATCCAGACATTCTTAAAAGCGAGGTGGGAAATCCTGGGATTTAAAAACAAGGAAGTCCATTGGGGTGGATTTCCTAACCACAGACCGTTTGAGAATGGAAAAGTCTCGGGAGATGAGGGTCTTCTCCATTCAAGGGGGGGAGGGAGTGCGTGAGCATAAACAGAATTTTCAAAAAAAAAAAATCAACCTTTAGAGTCTCGAAATCTGTTGTTATGAGTCTACCAAGCCTTTCAGAGAAACCCAAATAACAGGGATATGTTGCTTCGGGGAACATATAAATCTAAGGCGCCTTGGCAGGTTTAAAACCCATGCGTTACCCACAATGCTAATTTATGGCTTAAATTATAAGCTGGAGAGATCCTCACTTCTCTTGGCCTGGCATTTGGAAACAGCTCTCTTCTGAATTCAGAAAGAATCCGCATCCCTTCACCTCTTAAAATTCTGGGGAGGGGGGAGAGGAGGAAAAAAAGAAACTTTAGCTGGCTTCAAGTAATTTCTCCTTAGTTCCAGGTTGCTTCTCTCTTTGGTTAGTTTCCATCCGTTGCTTCTTGTCCTGCCTTCGGGCGCTTTGGAAAATAGCTTGACTCCCTCTTCTTTGGGGCAGCCCCTGAGATACTGGAAGACTGCTATCCTGTCCCCCCCCCCTCACCCTTCTCTTTATTAAATTAGACATACCCAATTCCAGCAGCCGTTCCTTATATGTTTTAGCCTCCAGTCCCCTGATCATCTTTGTTGCCAAGATTGGAGACCCCTGCCCTAAAGTCCTTTTCATTGGGAATATATTTGTTTCTCATCCCATCTGATTGCTCTTTCTTTTCTATAGAATTGCCCAAGAAGGCCGCAGCAAATGGGAAGCAATTCCAGCAGCCGTTCCTTATATGTTTTAGCCTCCAGTCCCCTGATCATCTGTGTTGCTCTTCTCTGCGCTCTTTTTCTAGAGTCTCAACATCTATTTTTTTACATCGTGGTGACCAAATCTTTTTCTTCCCGGTAATGCAAAATATCACAACCGCCCGCTGATGCCTCCCAGGGCAAATTATTAGATTTGTAGAAAGTTATCCCCTTCCCAACGCCCCACTCCCTCTCGGGCCCAATCTGTGTGCTTAAAAGTACAATCGTTAACGGAAGATCGGCCTGGCGCCCAAATTGCCTCGCCTCAGCTCATCAAAAATACAAGAAGCCGGCCACGAAGGATTAGAAAATTAAAAATTAAATACAGGAAGCACTTCCCCGCTCCGTTCTCTCAAAGGCTCGCGGACTGGCCAGCCAAACGTGGATCAGAGAGAGAACTGCTCCGTTATTCCAGATGCTCTGATTTAAAGCAGCTGCTGACGCTGAGCCGGCGGAGGAGGAGGCGAAGGGAGAAGCAACGCAACCTCGTGAGCCACACACAAAAGTGCTGCATCATGCAACTGCAGCGTGAACCCAGCCAAAGCCAGCCAGGAGGCGACGTTAAAAGAGTTTCAGAGAGGAACGCTCTGCCGGCGAGATCTGGAACCGTGGGAGAGCCTGAACGGAATCCCAAAGTAGGAGCGGATTTAAAAGAAAGTAAAAGACACTTATAATAATAATAATAATAATAGTGAAGTTGGAAGGGACCTTGGAGGTCATCTAGTCCAACCCCCTGCTCAGGCAGGAAACCCTATACCATTTCAGACAAATGGCTGTCCAGTCTCTTCTTAAAAACTTCCAGTGTTGGAGCATTCACCGCTTCTGGAGGCAGGTTGTTCCACTGGTTAATTGTTCTAACTGTCAGGAAGTTTCTCCTTAGTTCTAGGTTGCT